AAAATAAATATACACAGTACACACACATATTATGTAAACAAAAAACTTTTATTTAGGATGCGATTAATCGTTTGACAGCACTACAAATAATCCTTAAAAATGCACCGTTTCCACAAAAATATGAAGCAGCTTAAATGTTTTCAATATATAACCGTTTGAGCAGCAAATCACCAAATTAGAATGATTTCTGAAGGATCGTGTGACACTGAAGACTGTCGAAAATTCAGCTTTGCCATTGCAAGAATAAATTACATTTTAAAATATATTAAAATAGAATATAGTTATTTTAAATTGTAATAATATTTTACCATTTTTATCAAATAAATGCAGCCTCAGTGAGCAACTTCCTTAAAAAAAAACTAAACTAAATAAAATCTTAAAGTCAATCTGTTGTATGGTAAATCACTTGTGGTGATTTCTAAAAGTTTTGTCACTTCACAGATCCTAGTTTTCATCTGTATATGTTCCTTTACTTACCACTGAACTGCAAAATTACATTTAAAATTGAATGAATGCCATATTAAAAGTGCGAAGTGTCAATATTTGCACACGTTTGCAGAGTTGTCTTCTGTACCTGTAATTGGTGTCAGTGTGCAGATTAGGGCAGGGAATCCCCGCTCATCAAGCTCTACACCTCATACAGTCCCTCTCACTGCATAGTAGAGATAAACGGATTGGCCCGAATCCCAGCCGTTGGTTGGTGAAGTCGAAGTGAAAAGCATCTAACCATAGGCCTGTGCCTCTGTAAAATTCCTGTTGCCATGGCAGCTGGGTGAACTGCCCAAATATTCCAGTGCTCCACTTGGCTTGAATAAAATGTCTGAAGTCAGGCTGGTGAATGCGTACTGCATCTGCAACGCCGCAACATCTCGTCAATATTATGTGTTGTGCGGAAAATTTGAGACTGTAATTTCTGTTGAAAAGTCATAATTGTGCTTTGAAATAGAAAACAGATGACAGGGCTCTGGCTATTAGAGGTAATGGGGGCAGATGATAACGAGGGTTGTTTGTGTGAAGCGTGTTGTCGTGACTCATCTGTGGCACTACTGCTATGCGTCGCTCACAGCGTAGCCATGTTACCCCTAATTATGTGAGTTAAGACTTGACATACCTATAAAAAGAGAAATAAACAAGGCAATGTCATCTGCTATTCCCTAACTGTACTTCACGGGATCTGCTTGCTGTCAACATCTTGACATCGACCGTTCACATGCTGAAAAATGTCAGCTAGAATAAAATGTACACTACTAAGTACCTTCTTGACCATCTGTGCAATAAAATATAGCAAGCAATTATGAAAAAATAAATAAATAAATATATATATATATATATATATATACACAGTGCACAGCATAAATGAGTACACCCCCTCTGAAACTTAACAAATTCAGCAATTACTCTTTGCTTAGAAGACAAGTTATGGTTTTTTAGAGATATAATATTCCAGCAAGTCTGCTTGATTAGTTACCAAAGAGGAATGTTAAAATTATTCAAGAAAATAAAATTTTCTTATCAAAATGATAAAATGTTGTGTTGCAAAAATGAGTACACCCTCCTGAAAGTTACTAAATAAAACAAAAAATTCTGGTGTAAGGTTAAAGGGGTCATATGATGTTGCTAAAAAGAACATTAATTTGTGTATTTGATGTAATGAAATGTGTTTATGCGGTTTAAGGTTCAAAAAACACATTATTTTCCACATACTGTACATTATTGTTTCTCCTCTATGCCCCGCCTTTCTGATATATGGCCCACTGAATCATACTCAGACTTAATGCTGACAACAATGAAGCCACTTGAGAGAGAACTGTCAGGAGATTTATTTCTTTATTAAGCTTTCATTTAGTGATGAGTGAGTTTTTGCTAGAAAAAGAGCAGGAGAAACACTGTGAAAGTGTCTCAGAGCCGGCAAAGGGATATGTAATAATAATTACATATTAGAATATTTGGGCATTCAAGGCTTAAAGATATTCCCTTAAAATGTGCAGTTTGTAACATATAATTGCACAACATATATAGCATGTTTTAAATGTATTAATTTAACTGATTTAATGTTTTTATATTTAATTTTATTTAATTAAATAATTAATTTTATTTATTTTCAATTATTTAATTATTTATTTGTTTGTTTTTGTAATATGAAAACAAATAGAATACAAAAAGAATAGAGAAGCCAGTGTTAGTTTTTTTTTTTTTTTTAAGAATAGAATTACAATAGAGAGAGCTAGAGTTAGAGGGTCAAAAGGTCATTCCACCAGGAGGGAACAGTTAATGAAAAAGTCTGTG